CAGAAGCTTTCTGATTCCTAAACTCTGTGAATTTAACTGTATCTGTACCTACTTTTACATTATTTCCTTCAAGCTCAAAGAAGAGATGGCATTTTCCTAGTCAGGGCTAGTCCCTCCACTATGTTCCCGTTCCCTCCTTCTAGTTTATTATTCCAGTGTATTTTTGGTGTTCCCTGTGTTTTCAACCTCTCCCTCTCTCTTTCCTTCATAACCAAGCTGTCTGCATCTCTTCTCACTTAGTATCAAGTCACAAAATTTCTGGAATAGAGTGTAGCACATAGTTGCTTAATAAATGCTTGTTGCCCAAACAAAAGGGGAATAGATTTGAATAAATTTAATTAGTATGCATTTACCTCCTAAGCAAACATAGGTAAGTAGCCTAGTAAGAGCAATTTACATGAATGTAGGGTGCTTTCCCTCAAGTTCTTACTCCAACAATTATCCCTTTAGTCAATGTGAATGATTCAGATCTCAATTTTATCCATTTTAAAAGGCTTCCACAGACCCTTTATGTATCATTCACCCAATACCTGTCGTCAGCAATAATTAAATATTTACTTTTGTTTCTAATTATGGCCTACTAGGCAATTAGACCACTCTCCCCATTAGGAAAAGTTAGAGTTATTAGATGAAACATAATATAATCTTCCTAAAGACACTAGAGAGTTAATAAAATAGCAAGAAATGGACAGGTAAGTATCAAAAGAAGAGGAATCCAAGGAAGATGAGCCTAGTATTTAGGAATGCTGTTTCCTCTGGGGATTTATGCTGATTAAGGAAGGTATATCTGAGAGCCCCTGAAGGTAAGCCATACTTGCTAATCTAGAAGGACCAAAAGCCATGGAGACTGACGTTCAGGGATCACTAAAGTAGGCGAAACACTCTTGCTTTGGTTTGTAACTTTTAAAGGTTACCATTGTACAATAAGGAGGAAGCTGTTGTAGGCTCTTTCAGTGACTGTAGCTCATTTTTCATTCATCTCAATCCCATAAATTAGATTGAGGTAGTCCTAGGATACTCTAGTAATCCCAGAGTGCTGATGCTCACAGATTCTAGGCAGGAGCAAACAAATCATTCCTGGGAGGAGAAAACATTATCCTAAACCTTAAATTATTTCTATGAATAATTTTATAAATATGAAATTAGGCATACAATAAAAAAATAAACAGATACATAGGAAATACCTACAGAAACACTAGACCTGAGAAGCAGACACAGGGGCTCCAGATATTGGCATTATCAGAAATAGCCTTTAGTCTCACTCTCTTTCTCTCTATTGCCTTTCTGCCATGTTATGACACAGCAAGAAGGCCCTTGCCAGATGCTGGCAGAGCTGTGAGCCAATACATTTCTGTTTATTATAAATTACCCAGACTGTGGGAGTCTCTCACAGTAGCACGAAACAGGCTAAGATGCTCTCCAAATCTTTTCTCTGTGTACATATAGAAACATTGTTTTTATTATAAAAATTGAGATTGCGTACACTTGCAGATTTTGTATCTTATTTAAATTGAGATACAATTGACAGGCTGGGCCCAGTGGCTCCCGCCTGTAATCCTAGCACTCTGGGAGGCCAAGGCGGGAGTATAGTTTGAGCTCAGGAGTTGGAGACCAGCCTGAGCAAGAGTGAGACCCCGTTTCTACTAAAAATAGAAAGAAATTAGACTGACAACTAAAAATATATAGAAAAAATTAGACAGGCCTGGTGGTGAATGCCTGTAATCCCAGCTACTCAGGAGGCTGAGGCAGAAGGATTGCTTGAGCCTAGGAGTTTGAGGTTGCTGTGAGCTAGGCTGATGCCATGGCACTCTAGCCTGGGCAACAGAGTGAGACACTAAAAAGAAAAAAAAAAAAAGAAATAGCCTTTAAAATAGTTATACTTAACTATAATCAAGGAGATAAAAGGCAAGGTTGAGAATATTGGCAGATAATTTGATTTTTTTAAAAAAACCAAATGAAAATACTAGAAATACAGTGAATGGTTTTACAGCAGATCAGACATAACTAAAGAGAGAAATAATGACCTGGAATAAGTCAAAAGAAACTATTCAAAATGAGGTATTGTAAGACAAAAAGATAAAATACAGGAAAGGGTTAGAGACACAGTAGATACAGTGAAAAAGCCTATTATGTATTTAATTTTATTGGAGCCTCAGGAGGAGAATAGAAAGAGGATGAGAAGAAATAATGTTTAAAGAGTTAATGCTGAAATGATGAAAGGTATCAATTTATAGGTTTAAAATCCCAACAAATACCAACGAATAAAAAAAAAAAAAAGAAATCCACATCTAGACACTTCAGTAGTAAAAATTCAAAAGCCAAAACCAAAGGGAAAAAAATCTTAAAAGCAACCAAAGGGAAGGACAAAGCTTCCCTTCAAAAGAGTCATTGTTGACTTCACAACAGCAACAGTGAAAGCCAGAAAACAGTGGAATGGTAGCCTCACTGTGTTGAAAGAAAATAAGTTAGAATTCTATACTTATCAAAAAATACCCTTCTAAAATACAGGTGAAATAGGCTGGATGTGGTGCTCACACCTGTAATCCTAGCCCTCTTGGAGGCCAAAGCGGGAGGATTGCTTGAGGTCAGCGAGACTAGCCTCAGTAAGAGTGAGACCCTGTCTCTACTAAAAATAGAAAGAAATTAGTCATACAACTGAAAATAGAAAATATTAGCTGAGTGTGGCGGTACATGCCTATAGTCCTAGCCTCTCAGGAGGCTGAGGCAGGAGGATCGCTTGAGCCCAGGAGTTTGAGGTTGCTATGAGCTAGGCTGACATCACAGCACTCTGGCCTGGGCAAGAGAGCAAGACTCTGTCTCATAAAAAATAAATTAATTAATTAAATAAAGGTGAAATAAAGACATTTTCGGACCAAAAGAGAATTTGTCACTATCAGATCTGTACTAAGGCAGGAGGATCACTTAAGCCCAGGAGTTCAAGGCTGCAGTGAATTATGATCATGTGACTGCACTCCAGCCTGGGCAACAGAATGAGACCCTGTTCAAAAAAGAAAATAAACAACCCTATTTTTACACTATAAACAAAAATTAATTCCAGATGGATACTAGATCTAAATATGAAAGATAACATAATGAAGCTCCTGGAAGATAATATAAGAGAATATGTTAACAACTGTGAATAGAGAATGACTTCTTACAGAGAATGAAAAGTGCTAACCATAAAGTATAAGAATGAGAAATTAAGCCAAGCACAGTGGCTTGTAGTCCCAGCTACTTGGAAGGTGGAGGCTAAGGCAAGAGGATCACTTGAGCCCAGGAGTTCAAAGCCAGCTTCTCAATATAGTGAGACCCTGTCTCAAAAATTAATTAATTAATTAAACTACATTAAAATTAACTTCTTTTTATTAGAGGGGCATCATGAAGAGAGTGAATAGGCTAGAAGGAGATATTTGCAGAAAATATATCCAACAAAGGATCCGTATCCAGAATGTATAAACAAACCTACAAATCAGTAAGAAAATGACAGATAATCCAATAAAAAAAAGGCAAGAGATTCGAATAGACACTGCTAAAAGAGGATATGCAAATGGGCAATAATATATGAAATGAAAAGGCCTCAGCCTCATGAGTGATCAGGAAAATGCTATATATTTCTAAGAGAAATGAAAACATATCTCCAAACAAAAACTGTACACAGGTGTTCATAACAGCATTAGTCATAATTGCCAAAAGGTGGAAACAACCCAAATGCTATCACTTGTGGAATGGATAAATAAAACGTGGTGTGTCTGTTCAATGGAATATTATTTGGCAATATAAAAAAATGAAATGCTGATATATGCTATGGATGGATGAACCTTGAATACCTTTTGCTAAAGAAAAGAAGCCAGACACAAAAGGCCACATGTTGTATGATTCCACTTACATGAAATGTCCAGAATAGGCAAATCCATAGAGATAGAAAGTAGATTTTCTAGAACTAGGGATTTTGGGGGAAATGGGAATTGACTGTTAAAACAGTATGGGGTTTCTTTTTCAGGTTATGAAAATGTTCTAAAATTATAGTAATGGTTACTCAAGTGTATGAATATACTACAAACCATTGACTATTATACTTTAAATGGGTGAATTGTATGATATGTGAATTATATCTCAGTAAATCTGTTTTTAAAACATGAGATAGTACTACTTCACATTTACCAGAATGGCTAACATTTTTTAAACTGGCAATAGCAAATAGCAGCAAGGCTGTGGCATGATAGTAACTCTCATATCCTGCTGTTAGGAGTATAATTGGTACAACTATTTTGGAAACATGTTTAACATTACTTCTGAAATTTGAACACATGCATACCCTATGATCTAGGATTTCCACTCCTAAGTTTATACCCAACAGAAGAGATAAGTCTAGAAATGTTCTTGGCAGCATTATTCATAACAGCCAAAAGCTGGAAACAACCCAGAAGTCTATCAATAGTAGAATGGATAAATCGTGATATAATCATACAATATAACATAGCAATGGAAGTGAATGGACTACAACTGCACACAAAAGATGACTCACATCATTGAGCAAAAGTAGCTATATGCAGTATATACTATATGACTTCATTTTTATAAAATTCAAAAAATAGGGAAAACTAAGCTATAGAGCTTAAGATATGTGCTTAAGGAAGAAAGTTATAACGAAAACAAGAAAAACAATGTAAAAGTCAAAATAGTGGTTACTTTTGGGGGAAAGAAGGATGAGTAATTGGGAAGGAGGGGAGCTTCTGGTTTGTTGTCATTGTTCTCTTTTTTTTCAATCTGGTGATGATTAGTGTGTTCATTTGTGATGATTCATTGTGATGTACATTTTTGTGTGTACTCTTCTATATTATTCATGATAAAAGTTTAAGAAGTAATTAAATATTTAACATAGTACATGTTGGCACACATATCAGTACATGTGTGTGGAATCTATTCAGCAGTTAGTCAATGCCTATTTTATGAAGATAGTCATACTAAGGTCTAATTTAATTTCTCCTTTAATTTTGTAGGAATATGTTTATCCAGAAGCCAGAGACAGACAATACTTATTATTTTTCCATAAAGGAGCCAAAAAGTCACGTTTTGACCTAGAGAAATACAATCAACTCAAGGATGCAATTGCTCAGGTAAGTTTTACAAAAATTAAAATAAATCCCAGCCCCATCTTTTTCTTTTTTTTTTTTTTTGAGACAGAGTCTCGCTTTGTTGCCTAGGCTAGAGTGAGTGCCGTGACGTCAGCCTAGCTCACAGCAACCTCAAACTCCTGCCCAGCCCCATCTTGTATGGTATTGTTATTATCTATAACCATAATACTTCAAGTGGGTAAATTAAAAGAATGATCCAACCCCTTTCCTCCTATATAAATTATTCCTCAGATAATCAAAATCACTATTTTACCTATAGATACTTCTCTAGAAAGCAAATGAGAGGAGCACATTGAAATTTTTAGACATACTTTTACTTTGTTTTCATGTTACTTCTTTACAGTTATCTATTTTTACTTTTCTTTGTTCTTTTTAATCTTTCTACAACCATTGACTTAAGATTTCTCACCTAAATGTGTGGTAGCAGTGGGGCAAAAGTAAAATCCAGGTAAGAGGGAAGACTACTAGAAATCTTTGCTAGGCACATTTCAGAGATTATTAAACTAGAAGATGCCTTTTAAAAGATGGATATGTTTTACTTTTTATGAAAGCTACCTCTTTCGAATTTCTGGATGTGTCCCCCTCACTGTGATATCTTTGATTTTGGTGAATAAATCCTCATTCCTTTTATCTATAGTCTTCTGCGACTGTAGAGGTTTTTTTTTTTTTTTAACAATTTCTAGAAGCTCTTCCATTCTTTTTAATATTTAGTTGGTCTTCTCTGGGCCATCTCTGCCTTTTCTGCCTCTTCTTGGTAATGGGGTTGTACTTTTAATAGGCTTACTCCACCTTCGTATCTTGGCCTAAGTGGACTGTATTTTTTGTTGCTATGTGTGGTCGTTTTCAGTTGGAGGGAATGCCTCAGAATCATCTCTGGAGCTATTAAAAATACAAATGCTGGAGGGAGGGAGGGAGGGAGGGAGGGAGGAAAAAAAAAAAACTAAAAAAAAAAAAAAAAATACAAATGCTTTAGTCTTACCCTAGGCCTGCTTTTTTTTTTTTTTAAAGAGACAAGGAGACAAGGTCTTGTTCTGTTGCCCAGGCTATAGTAGTGCAGTGGCATAATCATAGCTTGCTGCAGCCTCAAACTCCTGGGCTCAAATGATCCTCCTGCCTCAACCTCTCAAGTAGTTGAGAATACAGGCATGCACCACCACACTTGGCTAATTTTTCTATTTTTTGTAGAGATGTGGTCTTGTTATGCAGCCCAGGCTTGTCTGGAACTTCTGGCCTCAAACAACCCTCCCACCTCAGCCTCCCCGAAGTGCTGGGATTATAGGCATGAGCCACCACACCTGGCCCCCAGGTGGCTTGCTTATTAATCCAGCTCCTCAAGGGGTGAGGTCTGAGCATGTGTGAGTTTTGAAAGTGCTGCAGTTGACTATCCATCCCTGTTTTAAAATTGACTGGCTAAGTGAAAAAACTTAAACAGATATTAGATAAATAACTACAGTCTTGAGTAGTGTAAATTAAACTTCTGGCTCCAGGCAAAGGTTGTAAAAGGACTTCTTAATGGAGAAAGGCCACCAAGGTGTACATGTCAGATATTCCCTGCATTCTTAAGCCCCTTAGTCCTACCTGTTGACAGCACTGCCTTTTCTGAAGGCTTTGACAGCTGGATCTGCCAAGGACAGGTTTCCATTTTGGATTTACCTTTTGTGGTCCTATGCCCTGGGCTGAAGCACTTTTGTCTTCTGAGGCCCTCTTATTTTGAGAGTAATTGAGATGATCTCTCTGGCTTATAGTAATGGAGAAAAGACAATTTCTTTTTCACAGTACCCAGTAATATTATCAAAAGCCTCACTAGCCAGTTTTTTTCACCTTTTGTTTCTATTTTAGGCAGAAATGGACCTTAAGAGACTGAGAGACCCATTACAAGTACATCTGCCCCTTCGACAAATTGGTGAAAAAGATTGATCTGCAAAGAGCCTCTGAATCCTGGCAAAAAGAACACCTGTTTGCCTTTTTAATTTAAAGCATTGCAGGTGGAAGCTGGGAGCCATGTGGGGGTAGAGGGTTTTTACCTTTAATTCTAAAACAAAAACAAAAAGGATCTTGGGGAAGAAAGGAATGTTAAAATCTAAGGATCAGGCATTGTGGAATATAAGCTCAAAGGGCTTAGTGAATATTGTCTTAATCAAGCATCTCACAGTTTCTGGGTGTAATGATGCAATTATATAGTTGAGAGATTCATAAAGAAAAAATGATGCTGGGGGTGTTTGTTTCTTGCATCTTCTTTGCAGGGTCAGCAAAACAGTAACACACCAGCACCCTACTCAGCTGTAATTCTTTTTATTTATCTTTTCTTATTTTTGACATAGGAGTAAATAAATATACCAGAAAAGCAAATCCTCATGATATGTGGGTGGCAAACAGTCTGAACCCGTACCATTAGCATTTATTTTAAATTGGACCCAGTTTCTGCAAAGTCACCAAGAATCTCTCCCTCCTGTAGCCCTTTACCGACTACCTACCTATACCTGCTACACTAATTTTAATTGGAACTAACTTATGACTGTTTAATAATTGACACTTTGTATTACCCCTTAATACCTTCTCAAATGTCTATATATCCCAGTGCTCTGGATCATTATCTAGAAATCATTGGCAACACTGCATGAGGTTTTATTGTTTTGTTTTGTTTTTACTAAGTAGTCTTTAGGAGGAGGAAAAATTCCCCTCCTTTATATACCTATCCCATTGATAATGCCCTCTCCCTCTACAACTCAAATCAGAGGGAGAGTGTTCAGCTGTATTACCAAATCAGGAAGATGTGAAGTTTACAAATTGGCTAAAAATCATGGCTGTGTAGCCATTTCAGAACCAGAATAATTTTATTGCTGTTAATCTGCGTGTGTGACAGCATTCCAGGCCAGCCAGATGGCACTGCCTTGTCTGGAGGCTTTGTTCATCTCGAAGGACACACACTTCCACACTGTTTGTGAGCCCTCCCACCTCCACAACTTCAGTGTTGTAAATCAAGTGTGTGGATCTCAAAGGGTGCAATTTCTCTTTATACAGGAACACATTTCTATGGCTTCCTTCAGCTTACCTTCTTCACCCTATTTTTTCTTATCCTAAATTGAAAGAAGGAAGAATTAATCTTATATTCTATCAAAATGTTTTCTACCATATTTCCAGATGACATCTGCACTTGAGGAGTCAAAGGAATCTAATTTCCTGTTTTTAACTACTGTGGGGGTAGAATGGAAAGGATGATGGGGTTCGCCACACCACTGATCAGCTTTTTTTTTCTTTCACAAGATTGATTCATCCTTCCTCATTGTGGCAAGGGATTTCTTTCTCTTTTTCTTCCTCCTTTGGGATCATTGTGTATGGAAAGAAAAACTTTAAATGACAAACCCAGACTCCAGGTGCCTTGCAGAGGTTGAAGGCCAGCCAGGATTGCTGCTGCTGCTGCTCCTGCCACCACCCCTTTCACTGGCATGACGGAATGAAAGGATGCATGTCTCTACTTCCCAGCCCTCCGCCCACTTCCTTCCCCCACCCACCCCCAGTCAGTCAACCCCTTCCCTCATTTATTTTTGTTAAGTTGTGTGAATTATTTTTAAACCATTTATCCTGTTTGTGCACAGGGTTTTTAAGAAGAAACAGCACAGTGCAATGAGCAAATCCTCTCGGGGTGTGTGGGAGGCAAGGGAGGGAGGACATGAAGAAAAATCCTTTAAACAAATAGCAAAATATTGAACATGTGTAAAATCCTGTATCATTTATGAAATATGTATAAAAAGCAATGTACCTTCTGGAACAATAAATACTTATTCAATTTTTGAACTATAGCATTCTTCATTTTTTTTAATAATACAAAAAAAGCCCCACTTACTTTCCTGTGTTCTGGATAGGAAGCCTTTTTACTTCTAAAATTATTTTTTATAAAATTATCACCATCAAATTAAGCTTTGTTTCCAGAGCCTATATTTCAAAAATAGGCATTTCACTAATTCTTCCTGAATCTAAAATGGTCAGTATTTTCCTAATTTCCCAGAGCCACCAAGAGGTTGAGTGACCTGTAAAACCATAAATAAAGTCAATGGCAGCACTGAGATTGATTCCTTATCCCCTGATTGACAGGAAAAATCTCCATTATATCAGACCACCTTGATTGCCCAGTGTGGGCCCCTGGACTAAAGAAAATTGCAAGGATGAACCAAGATTAAATATTCATTATTTTCAGAGGTTGTATTGAATTTACAACGATCACCAAACAGGAAGAACATTACATGCTGCCAAGTTTGCCTAAGGCATATTTAAAAACGTGTATTAAATGTCTGGTTGCTTTTATGCAGTATAAGATGATTTTCAAAGAGCCCGCATAGAAGGTCCTGCCTTCTAGCAGCTTACAGCAGCCTAACGCAGACAACCCTGAGACCTATGTAAGGTGTAAGAAGATAAGATTGAAAATGTTAAGCCATTGTTTGCATTCAACAAATAATATCAACATGTTCCTTAAGCTTTGCGGAGTATTTTCTTTAAGGAAAATAAAAACACATGATTTCTTTAAGGAGCTTACAATTAAAGTTTACATTAAAACATAGCGAACTCAACAAAAAACAACCTGATTAAAAAATGGGCACTGGACTCGAATAAACATTTCTCCAAAGAAGATATATAAATGGCCAATAAACACATGAAGAGATGCTCAGCATCACTAATGATTAGGGAAATGCAAATCCAAACTACCATGAAATGCCACTTCACACCCATTAGGATGGCTGTTATCAACAAAGCAGAAAATAAAAGAAATCTTGGTGAGGATGTGGAGAAACTAGAAACTTTTACACCGCTGGTGGGAATGTATTAGTAAGATGGTGCAACTCCTGTGAAAACAGTATGGCAATTCCTCTGAAAAGTAAATAGAATTACTGTATGATCCAGTAAGTTCACTTCTGGGTGTATGTCCAAACGAATTGAAAGGGACTCGAACAGATATCTGTACACCCATGTTCATAGCATCATTATTCACTACAGCCAAAAAGTGTCCATTATCAGATGAGTGGATCAATAAAATGTGGTTATGTATATGTAAAAGAATGAAATTCTGTCACATGCTATAACATGGTTGAACCTTGAAGACATGCTAAGTGAAGTAAGCCAGTCACAAAGGGATAATTACTGTATAATTCCACTTACATGAACTATCTAGAGTAGAAAGAAATAGAAAGAAATACAAAGTAGAATGATGGTTTCCAGGGACTAGGGGGAGGGAAGAATGGGGAGTTACTGTTTAATGGTTACAGAGTTTCAGTTTAGGAAGATGAAAAAGTTCTGGAGATGGGTGGTGGTGATGGTTGCCCAATAATGTGAGTGTACTTAGTGCAGCTAAACTGTACACTTAAAAGTGGTTAAAATGATAGCCTTTACCACAATAGAAAAAAAAAAGGCATAGTGAATTATCATTAGAGATAGATAAGGGATAGTATTTAATCTATTACAGATTGTGGGTAAAGCAGTTCTGCTGAGGGAGCATAGACTTAAAGCTGGAAAAAGTAAAAGGGTGCTCAGTATGATCCCTGGAGTGGCAGCATGTCACCTCCTGGGAATTGTTAGAAAGGCAAGTTCTCTGGTCTTTATTGAATCAGATACTAGGAGGGAGCCAGCAATCTGTGTTTAACAAGCTCTCGTGATACTTCTGATGAGAACTCTTGATCTAGTCAAACCATTGCTTTAAAGAGAAGGAAACTGAGGCACAGAGATGGCATCTATGTCACTCATCCGGGAATCCTGTGATCAAATACCAGACTGACTGGAGGATTGGTGAATATGGCAAATAGAAACGATCAACCAGAGATCATGTTGCATGCTAATGTACCCTGCGTGGTAAGCACATAGTAGATGCTTCCAAAAACAAATATAAATAAGTTGAATTTTTTGATCTATCTGGAAAGATTTCATAGAAAAAAATGAAAGAAAACTCAGTTTCACCAAAACTGTTAAGAGTTCTAATTATTCTAATTCGTTTTCATCACTGCCGACAACCTTTAGTTCGTTGCTCTCCCATTAAGTCCAAACTTGTCTTCCATAATGCACGTTGTGGTTATTTCCTTAGGATAAATGTATAGGTTAAATTTAATAAATTTTTAAAATTTATTTCAGTGTATTATGGGGGTACAAATGTTAAGGTTACATGTATTGCCCTGGCCCCCCACCCCCTCGAGTCAGAGCTTCAAGAGAGTCCATCCCCCCACGTGGTGCATATCACACTCATTATGTATGTATATACTCATACCCTCTTCCCCACTCCAATCTGCCTGACGCCAGATAAATGTTATGTCTATATGTGCAATTCGGTGTGGATCAGTAAAATCAATTTGCTGGTGAGTACATGTGGTGCTGTTTTTCCATTCTTGGGATACTTCACTTAATAGAATGGGGTCCAGCTCTATCCAGGAAAATACAAGAGGTGCTATATCACCACTGTTTCTTATAGCTGAATAGTACTCCATGGTATACATATACCACATTTTATTAATCCACTCATGTATTGATGGGCACTTGGGTTGTTTCCACATCTTTGCAATTGTGAATTGTGCTGCTATAATTACCCACTTTATAAATTTGTATTATGTTGTATAAATGCATCATGCTGATCAACCCGTCTTCCTCAAAACTGTCCTTAGCTCCTCTGACTCCACTTCTGGGTTTCCTTTCATAAATCTCTGACTATTTCTTGGTCTCTTTTACAGTGTCCTCTTCCTCTGCTCGCATCTTCACTGTTAGGCTGGCTTCCCCAAGGTTCCATATTGAACCCCATTTTCCATGGATGTGTTCTCACCCATTCCCTATTTCAGTTACCTTTTATATGTTAGTAGCTCTCAAATTGTTACTCTAACTCAGATCTCTCCTAAACAGCAGACTGATTTATCCACCTCCTAACTGATGTATTTCTAGCATTGCCTTCTGTACATTAAATTCCTTCAGTGTCACTAGAGTATTTTTATTTTTAAATTCTAATAGCACATACTTTAGAAAAATTAGAAAATATGAACAAATGCTAACACTAAATACTGAGAAGGGAGGCTAAAAGACACCACAAAGAAGCAATTAGCCGAATTCAAAGTGTGGGGCATTCTATAGGACAAATGATTAGATTTTTTTTTTATTCCTTTATTTTTTTTTTCCATTTTCAGTTGGCCAATTAACTTTTTTTTTTTATTTATTTTTTTTATTTTTAGTAGAGACGAGGTCTCACTCTTGCTCAGGCTGGTCTTGAACTTCTGAGCTGCAACGATCCACCCGCCTCGGCCTCCCAGAGAGCTAGGATTACAGGCGTGAGCCACCGTGCCCGGCCGATTAGATTTTTTTAATAAATGGGAGGGGGAAGGGAAGATTGTTATAGATTAAAAGAAATGTAAATGACATAACCAAATATATAAATCTTGTTTGAATCCTGACTCAAGCCAGCAATAAAAAATATTTGAAACTATTGGGGAAATTTAAATGTGGACTGGGTATTAGATATTAAGAAATTATTACTAATTTTCATTGTTATAATGGCATCATGATTATGTTAAAAAATCCTTATGTTAAATGCACACTGGCATATAAATGAAATGAGATTGACAAAAAGTAATTACTACAGCTGGATGTTCATTCTTTCTGCTCTTGTATATATTTGAAATTTTCATCATAAAAAGTCAAAAGTGAAAGGGTAGGCCAACTAAAAAGGAAAAAATAGAAATAAAGCGGAAAAAGTCCTACCATCCTGGGGATTCTTGTTTACAGAACCAAAGGGCTATCTGGTAAAAGTCCTTGACTCCAGCAATCAATTCTGGCAGCAAATCTGGGTTTATCTTATGCACACGTCCTCTGTTTCCCTGCAACACATACGAAGCACTCAGATGGCTTCTCAGGGACAGGAAATTGTGGGGTTTTGTTTTTTCAGTTAAAAGCACTGACACTAAGCAGCACTACCCTATAATGAGACAGTCCCAGAGTCACCCATTGCTGCCATCAAACCACAATTTAGTAAGCTAATGATCAAATTGCCTGTGTTACACTAACGTTAATAATAAAGTAGCTAACTGCAATTTTAGATCAATGGAAACCCCTTGCTAGACTGTAAACTCAGTGTTTGTGGGGACCATTTTTACCTTATTCACTGTCAAAATCCCGTGATTAGCATCCCATCTGGCCCCCAGTAAGCACTGTCTCATTGCATTGACACCCTTAGAGGAAAGGGCCCATGATAATTTGAATGCCTCTGAGTTTAGTAAAAATAGTTGTGCTAAGAAGCTGGGTGGGTGCAGTGGTGCACACCCATAGTCCCAGATACTCAGGAGGCTGAGGCAAGAGGACCACATGAGCCCAGGAGTTCAAGGCTGTAGTATGCTATGGTTGTGCCTGTGAATAGCCTGAGCAACATAGCAAGAACCCGTCTCTGGAAAAAAAAAAAAAAAGTGCTAAGAGATTAGGAAAACAAGTTTAAGGATTACTTCCCAAAGATAGTACTCTTATCCCAAACACTAGAAATTTGGTTATTAAGAAAAGTAACACAGATGAGAGGAAGTACAAGAATAATAGAAGCCCAAAGCATCATGTCCAAGTAAAACTAGGAGAGAAAATTTTTGGTTTGCCTCAGATTCTTGTTTAGTATTTTTTAAAAACGTCTCCCTGTGCTTTTTATCCTTCCCCTTCACATTATCTTGCTCATTCTTGCTTCACATTATGCTTGCTAATTCTCAGGTGTCCATCGCTCTGTAGAATGTCAGGGAGCCAGCAAATTCCAAACCTGTAATTACTGAGGCTATGTCTGGTACCATGTCATATACAGGTCCTACATTTCCCCTCCCTTATCTAAAAGTGAAACTTTAGTAAATTTTGACATTTAACTTTCCAGAGTGGTGTTAATTTTAAGCTCCTACCCTTTCTTAATGTGAGAGTTAGTGAAATAAATAACATTAAACCATTTTAAATTGGGGGAGGGGGGAAGGAAGACATTATGAAAACATAAGGTACTACTGCTTGAATTGGTAAAGATACAACTTAAACCCTGTTTCTTTAGGAAGTTTTGAGACCAAAGATCATAATAAAACAGACTTAGGAAACGGCTTCAAGAGAATACTGTCCCCATTGTATACGTGCCTTTACTCCTTTTTTATACACTATTGTAAACTCCTTGACCTTCTGACCAAGATATTTCTTAGTGACTGGTTCTAACAATTTGGCTTTATCTCATTCTCAGTGTGCAATGAATGCTATGGCTGCAACATCATACAATCAACTCCTAGAAGTCACAACAAGATTTTTGACGTGAGGGGATGTCCCTCATTTAGAGTTCCCTTCTGGATAAGATACTGGAGGTTTCATTGCAGGGAATTCTTGGGAGAAAACAATAGGAGGATGAGGAATTGTGAGGTTTTTTTTCCCTAAAGAAAAATATCAATAAAACAACCGTGTTGACAGCGTAAAGCAGCGCTTCTATCTGGGGTCAAGGCCGGAGCAATGGACACCTTATCCCGCTCACCCTCTTCCTCTGATAAAGCCCCACCAGTGCTGATAACGTCTTTCTTCATAAGAGCCTAGAGGCCTTTCTTAAAAGTGCTTGAAAAAGAAGAGGACAAAGGCACACTGCTATTAAGAGGATTTTCCAGGCTGTTTCTGGTAGTTGGTCCTGAAAGATGTCTCAGGTCCTGCTTATCTGCCTCTTCATCGTGGTCCCCTCGGTGTCATCAACAGGTGAGCCTTGGGTCAAGGACTTGGCACGATGCACTCTTTATTGTTGCAGTTTGCTATTGTGCACAGATTATTAAGAATTAGATTCCAGTGCCTTAAAGACTGGTTCTAGGATCATGTAAGGAAAGTCACTGATAATGTTTTGAAAATATATTTTCAGAATATTTGTTACATGTTCCATTTAGCCTCTTGCCTGGGCATCCAAATTTTCCATGGACCTGCCACATCTAACAGCTTTCCACTAGCTAAATATTTGTTGGAGTATGTGTAAGGAATTCTAACCTGTTTATATTCTAGGCACTTTCATAGTTCCAGCTTTAAAAGCCAAAACAAAAAATGATTTTTAAAGTCGAGGGTATAGTTTTTCTTTAGTGAATGCAAGGACCGAAAGCTCTGTCCCCATGAAGGGCACAGATCTGGATAAAACCAAGCTTGTTAGTCTTGATATCTGAAAATATGACTTTTTGCACAGATTGAGTGAATCTTAAACTGCCCCTCCTCAGTCTTGGCGCAAAACTGGCCAACCAGGCAGAGGAAAGTTGCAGTTCCAGTTACTAGCAGATTTCTCTCTGACTTCTTTTTCCAGTAGAATATGAATTCTAACTGGAAGGGGAGAGGGTGAGATGAAAAGAACCATCATCCTTCTTGGCACCTTTAAGTAGCTCAGTATTTAATTGATACTGATTTATTTCTTTATGGTAATTTGGCAACCTTGCTTGAGCACCTTTAAGGATAAACATCAAAAATAGACTTGAGACCCTAGACATGAAAGCTAAATGTAACGTGGTGTCCTGGATGGGATCCTGGAACAGAGAAAGATATAGGTAAAAACTAAGGAAATCTGGATAACTATGGACTTGAGTTAACAGTAATGTATCAACAGTGGTTCATCGATTGTGGCAAAGGTACCATGCTCATGTATGCTGTGTCATCATAGGGGGAACTGGGTGTGGGGTACGTGGGAACTCTTTGTGCTATCTTCTCAATTATGCTGTAAATCCAAAACTGTTCCCCAAAAATAGACTTGAGCTTCCTGTCCTTAACCACCCTGTATCTGCTGCCAGTAACTAGCCTAGAGTCGCTGAGGGAAAAGTGTCCTGGGACAACCCTCACTCCCGTTCTGCCCACTCTCTTTCCTTGCTTACTCTCCCTCTAGTACCTTCGATATCCTCCCATTCCTATGTGCCTTCACCCTTCCCAGCCTTTTTGTTTCCCCTGGCACTGCTAGGATGTTTGGCTCAATGCCAGAAGCAAGATAAAGGGGGAAGTTTTGGGGTTGGGGTGGGCCTTGCCCTGGGAGGAGAAGGGAAGTGAGAGAAGAGGGAGAAGGAGGGGAAAGAGAGAAGCAGAGCAGGGTAGGGAGGGAGGGAAGGAGCCGCTTCCCAACCAGAACCAGGCACTGGGGTGCAGGGTTGGATGAGGTCTATCCCCCAGGGAGTGCCAGTGTGGACCTGGAGGGCTGGGGGACCTGGAGGGTTGCAGGACACAGACATCTCCTCCCTGCCCTCAGTGTGGTCCGGGTGAAGGGAGGTGGGAGTGGGTGGCTCAAAGGTGGGAGTCTCGGTAAATGGCTGAGCAGCTTCTGTCAGGCAGGAGGGAACCGCATTGCTGCTGTTTGAAGTCCTCCCATTGAGAAGTACATACCAGCAATTCAGGATGAATATGCACAATACCGAATTCTGGGCTCCAATGAGAGGCTGAAAATAGGATTTAAAAGCAGTGACCAGATTATTAATGGATTGAATTGCTGCCTTTAAAGGGGGTGGTGTGGGATGGGTACATTTAATGTCAGAAAGTACTGAATGATTAACTTTTTTAAAAAATGTATTATTTACAGAAGATGGTGGATACATTTCTCCTCTTCATGCCCTAGCTCCCCTACAGCAGCAGAGGAAATGAACTATTAGCAAATAGCACAAGAAATGACAGCTAACTTTAGGGGAAAACTTTATAAATCCTGAAATAGTTATTTGAGGGAGGGTTAGGAATCTCTGTAGAAGCCATTAAGAGTTGAGTACCTAACCATTTCTTATAAAATTAGAGCCAGGGAAATGAACCAAATATTTCTAAGAATGTATAATCACTTGTAAAATTCTTCTGGAAACCTTGCTTGGTAAGAGAGCCAGAGCTGGGAGAGCAGAGGAGGGAATTTTTCCCTTTTGAGAGAGGAGACTCTGAGGACATTTCCTCCCCTCAAGATACTATGGGCTAGGGCTCCGTTGAGACACATCAAGGACATTTGAAAGAAGTAAGAGGGTTGCTCCTGCCTTTTGCAACCCTGCTAATATGCTATTTCCAGAAATTGCAATATCCCACTTATTACTTTTCTCAAGTTGTCATCTTCTCTTTGGGACCATTAGCACTAGACTACACCTTCCTCTACATGTGACTGAAGTTTAGCGAGTAAGCTTGACTTTGAAATGTAGATTGGGGAAATCCAAAATATTTTAGACAATTTACATTTGGTGATCATGCTCCATTCCCATTTAATTATTGTGCAGTGTTTGCTAATACAGAATTCCCTGCCCACAGAGTGTGTTGGCCCTAATGTGAATTCCCTGCCTACAGTGTCAATTGAGTCAGTCAGCCTCACCTGTGTTAGGAAGGATAGTACTCTCCGGCCAGTGCTCCTTTCTGGAATTTCTTGGTTTCCTAGATTCTTCATAAGGACAATTTACCTACATTAATTCATTAATTAGGTTTCCTGAAGTTGAGGGAAGCAATGAGAATATTGGAAATAGCAATGTCTTCAGTGATTAAAATGTTTTTGATGAGATATTTGTCCTTGCAATTCATGCACTAAAAATGCATACTTGAGAAATTTTGCTGTATAATAGCTAGGATAGTGATGTCAGCTAATTGTGAATACAGAAAGTTCTTGATATTTTCAATATTTGGTGGAATACATACCAAAATTCATTTTGAATAGCTCTGGTAACTACATGCCAGTGTACTGTGTGTTTCAAAGTGGGTGGCATGTGCCTGAGGCCTTTTCCTTTTCAGTGCTTTACACATTCTTGATCAAGTCAAACTTCCCATTGATGCAAAATTCCACCTATCATCTTCTTTACAAATGGCCATCCAAATACTTTGTTGAAAATTTCCAGATTCGGAGCTAACCACACTGTGATACAGCCTCTCCCATGACTGGATAGCTGAATTGATGTGTGCTTTCCTGTAACAATTTATTCTTGTTGTCACAGAATAGCTAATCCCTCTTCCAGGAATCTATTCCAGATTTTTAAAAATCGATATGAGTTTTCTTCAGTCTTTTTTTCCAAACTATAGTTCTCAGCTTCTTCTCCAGTAAATAATTTTTAGGCCCCCTTCTGAATCTGGTCAACTTTTTCTGGACAAGTTTGTCAATTACTTTCATAAAATACAGCTTCCAGATGTGAGCATAATACTCAAAATAAGGTCTGCCCAGTGCAGAGTTCCATGTGGCTATATAATCCTAACCTCCCTTGATCTGAACCACTATCCTTGAATTAAATGGTGACTCTAGATAAAAAGTTTAGTCCAATGTGAACACTAAACCTTAAATAGGTTTGAAGTAATTTTGTAAAGAGCATTTATGAAACATGTTTAGATCAACTTGACGAACCTTAAACAGCTACATTTTTGGACCTTAGATAATTTCTTTCTTGAACTCAAGCCAAAGTGCAAGACCAAGAAGGTGGACTCAGGCTGTTGGCACTGTGGTCTGAAATAGCAGTAGGTGCTTCTGAGGTGTCATTTTCATTCCTAGCCCTAGATCCTTGTTCTGCTTACATCAGTCTGAATGAGCCGTGGAGGAACACTGAGCACCAATTTGATGAGTCCCAAGGTCCTCCTCTATGTGACAACCACGTGGACGGGGAGTGGTACCGCTTCACGGGCATGGCAGGAGATGCCATGCCCACCTTCTGCATACCGGAAAACCACTGTGGAACCCATGCACCTGTCTGGCTCAATGGTAGCCACCCCCTAGAAGGTGACGGCATTGTGCAACGCCAGGCCTGTGCCAGCTTCAATGGGAACTGCTGCCTCTGGAACACCACGGTGGAGATCAAGGCTTGCCCCGGAGGCTACTATGTGTATCGTCTGACCAAGCCCAGCGTCTGCTTCCATGTCTACTGTGGCCGTGAGTGCTTTTTTTCTGTGCTTTTTTCTCCCCAATAAGGCCACAGGTGGGGTCAGAGAGAAAAGTTCCATAGGAAATTCAGTTATGTGACAGTAGTATCTCAGAGTCTGAACATTGATTTGGGGCCAAAGATACCTCCAGATTGTGATTTCTGAGATCTGTGCTTTAGAATTTCTGCAAAATTCCTGAAGAAATAGAAAGCAAAAGTACCCATGATTTTGATCAGTTCTATTATTTTGTCTTCATTCCATTCAAACAAAACATTAGAAAATGAAATGATGGTTCAGGTTATCTAAAGAGTGGATTTCCAACCTTTTTAAGTACAGAGGACCCCTTGTTAAGATATCTGTGTCTATAAATAGGTAGAGAGATAGATAATCAGACATCCATATGGTAACATTGTGCTTAGAATCCATTGATTTTTTAAAATGGTATATAATAGGAAGAAACCACTTGATATCAGTAATCCTCTTAAATTAATTTCTAAGCCAGGTGTGATGGCATGACTATTGTTCCAGCTACTTGAAAGGCTGTGGCAGGAGGATTGCTTGAGCACAGGAGTTTGAGGCTGCAGTGAGCTATGACTGCACCACTGCACTCCAGCCTGGGCAACAGAGACCCTGTCTCTAAAAAAAAAAAAATATTTTTTTTTTTTTTTTACAAGAGTGTTTCTTGTCCTCTCCTCATGAAAGGTAATCATTATTCTTCCATAGATTTTTATGACATCTGCGATGAGGACTGCCATGGCAGCTGCTTGGGAACCAGCGAGTGCACATGCTCTCCTGGAACGGTGCTGGGCCCGGACAGGCAGACTTGTTTTGGTAAGAAACTAATCATGAGGTATTTACAGGCCATCAGAATCAAAGGGACAAATCAAAAACTCTTCCTGCCTCTGAGTGCCACCGTTTTCCCACTTTGTATCTCTGAGCACTTGGAATGATGGTTGCCTTTTTATTTTATGCCCTGACTAAAGCCTCAGGCCAAATTTATATTGTGATTGGGGAGAATTCGAGAATTGTGTCTTCACAGCATCACTGTGAAAGCCAATTTTTAAAAAAGAGAGAATTGTGTTTTCTACTATAGTAGCCACTAGCCACATGTGGCTATGGAGCACTTGAAATTTTTGCTTAATTTTAATTTAAAAACTGATATTTGATTCAGTCATTGGAAAACTGAAAATGTCTGGGAAAAATTAAGTAACTAACTGTAAATTTTATAACTCTATCAATTTACTTTTTCTTTTTTGATGTAATTAATCTTATGACAAATTAAATTGAGTCTAAATACTGTACAGATCTAGTATTTATGATGAAAATTTGTCATCCAAATTAAGATGTGCTATAAATTCATTTGAAAGTGTGCTCAAAACACACACCAGATTTTGAAGACTAATACAAATAATGAAAAAGATCTCCATGATTTTAATATTATGTATAGAAATGAAAATATTTTAGATATAAGTGGGTTAAATATAACATATTACTAAAATTAATTTTGCTATTTTTTTAAAAAATTGGATGTGACTACTAACAAATTTGAAATTAAGTATATGGCTTGCTTAATATTTCTACTAGACAGCAATGGTCTAGAATTATCTAAGGACATATCCTATAGCTTCACTAATGTAATTTTGGTTGCTCTGAGTAGCAAGAAAGGGAGTCAGATTGTTTATAGGAAGTCTAGAGTTGTTGAATTGTATGTACTGTTTTGTTGTCTATAACTGGAAGAGAACAGAGATGAAAAACTCAAGATTGAAGATCATCTTTCTTTCTCTTTAATGTTATGAAGCTTTTTAGATTCAGACTCAAATAGATGTAAAACAAGCCCAGAGAGAAAGAGGAGGATTGTCCCACTCTCGTCTCTCCAAGAAAAATATTAATGGGTCAGGATGAGAAAGGGGATTAAGGTGAAAGGGATATAAAAGTCTTCTTATTTTAGAAAAGCTTTTGCTCTTCAATCTCCCAAGTGAACCCCACTGATCATCTTATGGAGCATTTGTGGGCCCTACCCTAAGACTATGTGGTTTAATGCTCAGTGGCTGGGGGTAAGGGCAATAGTGGTTCCCATAATCCTTCTGAGCCTTCACATGCACATGTATCTGTTGAAAAATATTTGGCTTCATTTTAAGCCAGGAGTTGTTTGTTCATTCCTTTGCTTTTGTTTTAATAAAACTTTTGAATAGGTAATACATTTAAGCGATTCCCCAAATTAAACAGCATGAAAGGTATACAGTAAGCTGTCCAGCTCTCAGTTGCCCATTTGCTCCATTTCCCCCTTCCCCACCTCCATCCCAAGGAAACTCTTGTATTATTTTCTCATGTGTGCTTCTGGACTCTCTTCAGGCAGCTATAAAAATGTGAATGTATATGTTTATTTATTGACTTTTTTTTTTACATGAAAGGTAGCAAACCATATGATATAGTTTGGATATTTGTCCCCTCTACATCTCATGTCAAATTTGATCCCCTGTTAGTGGTGGGGCCTAGTAGGAGATTTGGATCATAGGAGCAGATCCCTCATGAATGGCTTGGTGCCACCCTTGAGGTAATGAATGAGTTCTTACTCTGTTAGTTCAAGTGAGAACTGATTGTTAAAAAGAGCCTTTCACTTCCTCTCTCTTGCTCCCTTGCTCACCATGTAACACACCTGCTCCCCCTTTGCCTTCTGTCATGATTGGAAGATTCCTGAAGTCCTTACCAGAAGTAGACAGTAGCACCATGCTTCTTATAGAGTCTGCAGAACCATGAGCCAAAATAAACATCTTTATAAATTATCCAGTCTCAGGTATTCATTTATAGCAACACAAACAGACTAAGACAGTATATATATCTCTCTTCCTTAATTTATCTTGGACATCTTTGTCTATCAAAGCCCCAAGTTCCTACCTGGTGGGGAGGGTCTGTGGGCTTCAGGGAGACCATGAATCCTGTGAAATGATAAGCAGACTTCTGTGTTGACATGAATGTGTCAATTTTCCTTTAGTTTTTCTTTAAATGTAACATGATTTTAATTATTTATTTAAAATTATACATTTTTTTTTCAGGGAGAGAAGAGTACAAGAAAATAGTACAACAGACACCCATGTACCCAGATTTAACTATAGTTAAATTTTGCTTCCTTTTTTTTTAAATTTACATAAAATTTTACAGATACAAGTAAAGCTATCACACTTCATTCCATTTTCTTCTCTCACCCGCCACGGGTAATCACTATTTTGAAGTTAGCATGCGTTTTTCTGGTCCCTATTTTTATGCTTTTATTATTTATGTATGTACCTATAACAAAATATAGCATCATTTTATGTGTTCTTAAAATTAACATAAAAATGATATCTTACTCAATGTGTGAGATTTTCTCTAGGGTATACCATAAGGATGGAACTGCTGGGGCATAGAGTATCTAAATTGGCTGTAATAAATAATAAACCCTCAAATAACAATGGCATAAATAAGTAGAAGTTTATTTTTCCTTCACATAAAAAAAAAATCAGTCCCAAGTTAAGCAGTCGAGGCTTGGAACGGAGGCCTCTAAGGAAACACAAACAGAAATGTGACCACATCCGCATCCAGGAGGGCTACTAGTCTGTAACCATCCACTTTCCAGGCAGTATAATGAGGGAAGGGAAAGAAGGGACCCCAATTAACATTCTAATCTTATCAACTCTGTTTTTCATTTCTATAAATTCTGTATGTTTGTTTTCAATTCTGCCTCGTCTTTTTACACACTTCTTTTATTTTGGTTACTATTCTTTATCTTTTTAGTCATTCTTAAAATATTTGTATTATGGATTTTTCTGGAATATTCTATTATCTCCAGTTCAAATCCCCATTTGTTATCTTGCCAACTCTCTCTCACAGTGGATCATATCCTCATGTCTGTCTACCTCAATGTCTTCCTCATGTGTAGACGGCAAACTGTCTTCTGCTGTAATTATTTTTCTGTGGGGCTCTTATCACCTGGTGTCTTAGTCTGTTTATTGTCACTGTAAAGGAATAGCTGAGGCAAGGTAATTTATAAAGGAAAAGGGTTTATTTGGCCCATGATTCTGCTGGCTGGAAGACTGGGCATCTGGTGAAAGCCTCAGGCTGCTTCTCCTCATGGTGGAAGGGATTGCAAAGCAAGAGAGGAAGCAAGAGGGAGAAGGGGAGGTGCCAGGCCATTTTCAACAATCAGCTCTTGTGGGAACTAATAAAGTGAGAAGTCGCTCATTACCAGGAAACAGCAGTAAGCCACTCATGAGCAATACACCCCCATGACCCAAACACCTCCCATTAGGCTCCACCTCTAACATTGACATCAAATTTCAACATGAGGTTTGGAAAACCTCAGGTTTCCAAACCATAACACCTAGTTTGAGGAAGTTTTACTACAGAGCACTTTTCAAATGCTTCTGTCAGACATCACAGAAGCTTTACCAGTCCAAGGCCAAATTTTACAATAATTTCTCAGCTTCAAGATCCCTACCCCACATGGGAAAGTATAAACCCATAGTGCCTCCATGGCAGGGCCCTGGCTTGGGGTTTCCATTGTTTATTAAGGCTTTTCTCTCTCCTAGAGTCTCAGGCAGAGAGCATCCTTATTGCTTACCTGGCCCACTGGGGAAAGTTCTGCTACTACTCTTATTGAGGGGATACAGTTTCTGGGGATCTAGACTTAAGCAGGGTTTCAGGTATAGTTTATCTCCTCTCATGGTGGGGGTGGGGCATGGCAGGACCCTGCCATCTTGTCACCTCATGGGTGTTTAAATCCCTTATATGTCCTATATCCAGGTCTGTTATTCCTGAGGGCCATGACAAATTAGCTCCCAATCTTCCCTTTGTTTGTAGAAGGAAGAGGGTAGACATTTCCTGACAACTGTGCATTTTTTATGGCAAGAGTCCATATCTTTTATCACATTCTTAAAAATGTTAGCAATCATTGCTTAAGTACAGTGTGAGAATATTCCAATTTTAAAAATTGGAGGGTATAGAAAACTTTGAAACCAGGTAAAAAAAAAAAAAAAAAAAAAAAAAAATTGGAGGGTAGTAGTTTGGGTTATGGCACAAACTATTTTATCAGATATTTCCTTCTGTAATGTAATCTCCTCTCATGACTTAAAACACAATGTACCTTGTAAGTTTGTATTTATTTAGCAACTTTTCAGGAATTCATTGGAGAAAGTGAAATTCACCAATACAAATGAATAGGTGTATCCAGGACACAAAAGGAACTTCATTTCCCTGTAACTTTTGCCCTTGAGAGGAGGGAATTGGCAAGCAATCAGGTGCCATCAACTCAGTAGAGGGCAGATGAACAAATAACTTGGTTGAGATCAGGTTGACAGAAGTGATTAGATCACAGTAGGGGAGCTGGGTTGTAGAATCCACAAGACCTGAAAAGATGCAGAGATTCTGCTCACGGGCTTGGGAAAAGATAGAGTTAGTTGCTCAGCAATATGGAAATAGTGTGGTTTCTCTTCTACAGATGAAAATGAATGTGATCAAAACAATGGTGGCTGCAGTGAGATTTGTGTGAACCTGAAAAACTCATACCGCTGTGAGTGTGGGGTTGGCCGTGTGCTAAGAAGTGATGGCAAGACTTGTGAAGGTGAGTATGGGTAAGAAAGGACTCAACCAAGGAACCCGCAGGAAGACATTGGCCTATTCTTTGATGTTCAGGAAACTGTTTTAGTGTTACAAGAGAGTGAGTTTGGGCTGTGTAGAGGAATAACAAAAGGAGTTCATTGAGAATGCTCATGTTATGGATGGAATTCAGTGTTGATTTTGTGTCCAAAATTTAACAGGAGGGAATTTTGCAAGAGGCAGAAAGCCATATTTTTATTTGGGAAATAAAAATAGGGTATTCTGTGTTTCTCAAACTTTAATGTGCTCAGGAATCACTTAGGATCTTGTTAAAATACAGGTTCTGATTTAGTAGGTCTGGGATCAGGTAAAGATATTGCATTTCTAAATAACTTCTAGGTGACACCTATGAGGCCAGTCTAAGGAGCACACCTGGACTAGTTGGTAGCATAAAAACTGGTTATAGCAATGTTTCTTAAACTTCCCTGCTGCTGACAATCACCTGGGAGCTTTTACACCTAGCCCCTGCTGGGCCTCTCTCGTGCAGACTGTACTTCAGAGGAGCGAGGATGGAGCCTCACAGTTTCTGTTTTTAACAGGTTCCACAGGTGATTCTTACCATCTTGGAAATTTGGGAAACTGGTTTACATGAAGCCTTTTTCCCCTCCTTCTCATATGCTTTGTATTTATTGGAGATTAATACATTTTTTGGAGATAAAAGAATCTATTTTTAACAGCAGGGATACCATATACATTTTATATGACAAAAAAGAATTCATAATGTATATCAAATAATTGAAATGGAATTGTCTACCATTATTATATTAAACTTAGATAATGTCTTTTCTCTAAGGCACATGTACCCTTGCAAATCATCACAACTAAAATTTCATCACTTCTACTTTAATAAGTCTGAATTCTTACAACACTCTTTGCAGATTATTTGGAGAGATAAATGACTTATTATTGACAGAGGTCATATGATCTGTTCCTTAGGATAACTGAGTTTGTGGACTAGAGCTATAGTGCTGCTTATAAGAGTTTACTTTATTCTAATTATATTCAAAATAATAAAACACTACCCCAAAAGGAAAAATTATGGCTCGTGCCCATAATTTATTTCATGCAACAAATTTTGCATTATTAATTAAGGGACCATTAACCAGAATACTAAATTACTGCTCCTTATAACAAGACTAAATATATTTTAAACTTTATTGAATAAGAGTAATATCCTGAATCTTCCTTAAATCTTATTTTATGTAGAAATCTTTGCATGTTTGAATATTAATGAAATGTTTCCTGAAGAACATTTATAATTATTTACTAACACTTTATTAGAAATATTAAAGTTAATCCTCATATAATCTTAAACCCTAATAACTATAACTGAAAACATATTTGAGCAGAGGATGAAAATTATATGAGTTACACTTTAGGATTAATATTCCTACTTATAACCCTTAAGTTTTACTAATAGTCCAAATATATATGTTTCTTTAGCTAGGCTATTAGATAATTATACATTCTTTTTTAAAAAATAAACAGCTCTTTTTAATTTACATAATTTTTATTATTTTGTTTTATTGTAGCAGTATAGAAGAAAATACAGAGAAGTAAAAGGAAGATAATTAAAATGAACCACAATCTCATTTGCCAGATATAGCCATTTTAAACATTTTGGTATATCTTCCTGACAGATTTAAATCTTTTAGGATAATTTAGACTTTCAGTTTATTTTGTACTTTGCATTTTTAGACCTGGAAATATTCCAAGTGAACATTTAGTGCAACCTCTTTATTTTACAAATATTGAAACTGTGACTCAGAGAAATAAATTGACTTAAGGAAGTTCATTTTTAAGAAAAAAAATTATATTAATGTTGACTTTAACATCTCATAACATATTTTTATGCTTCCTTCCACAGTTACATATTATTTTATATTATTTTTAGCTATTTCAAAAGCCTAGAGGTGTTTTATCCTTTTTAAACATACAAATTTATAAACAAGTGACGTTTACTCTTTTAAGTTTTGCAAAGATTGACTCATTACAAATTTTTTCTCTATACACATTTCACAAAAACTAATTCATCTCAAGTTAATTTACTGATGTTCCAAAGAACTAACTTTTTAAAACTATTATTGGACTGAGAGTTATAGCTATCACTGGAAATCAGCTGACAGCTTTCCTTGAGCATCTCAGATGATTTGAAAACATTTCCTTCCATTATCTTAACCTAAAGCAGGGATCAGCAAACTTTTTCTATAAGGCCAAATAGTAAATATTGTAGGCTTTGTGGACCATATGGAATCAGTAGAAACCACTTCTGCCCTTGTAGTGAGAAAGTAGCCATAGACAATAGGTAAACAAATAGGCATGGATGTGTGCCAATAAAACTTTATTTATAACAATGTATGTAACAGATTTGAGTTTGATAATGCCTGGGTCTCACCAAGGTCATTATTTTTCCTCTTTTAAATTTGAAATCACATGGTAGTTTCTTCAGTTTCCAGCTCAATATTTTTTTCCTTTTCGTCCATTTGAGTATGGTTTTTGAAAATGTAAAACATTATAAAAAGGAACCTTTAAAAAACTGCCTTATGAGAGGAATGTCACCAAGAGTTCAGTTGAATGTGCTCTCTTATCATGTTGTCCAGACCTCATTTTTATAGGGTGCTGTCAGCCTAACACCCTTTATCCCCAGTGCTCTTGTTCCCAGAATCGAGGAGAGGGCCATGTAATCCAGCCAATCCATAACAACTCTGGTCCATCCAGCCTGTCCAGTTGAGTTTATATTCTGTCAGTCCCTTTTACATCAATAATGCTCTATAAAATTCCAAATTTGGTAGAATAAATCTTATAGCAATTAAGAAATGACTTTTGGGTCTGAATCCTAGAAACCCAGTCTAGCCATAAGAAAAACATCAGACAAACCCAAATTGAAGGACATTTTACAAAATGCCTACTCAGCTTAATTGGGCAGAGCTATGGATGTTGGAAGATTGCTCTGTGTAGCTATAACATTTAGTAAACATTTTTTGTGGGGTTTGCCTACCTGTCTCAGTCATGGGGTTAGGCAGAAGGGATACTGCCATGAGTTAAGCATAATCTCTGATGCAAAGTGCCAGAATTCTTGGGTAGAGGGTTACGAGATGATTCCCTTTTCTGTTGGTTTCTACTCCAGACATTGAAGGATGCCACAATAACAATGGCGGCTGCAGCCATTCTTGCATTGGGTCTGAGAAGGGTTACCAGTGTGAATGTCCCCGGGGCTTGGTGCTGTCCGAGGATAACCACACCTGCCAAGGTAGTACATGGATGGGCTTCACCTCTGCTCTGACTTACTTCTTCCTTCCCTGAAACTCCTTGCTTTCCTCCCTCAAGCATGTCATAGTTCTCATCTTTTAAAACACCAGCTCTTTGAGTAGTGTGTATACCTGAATCCTCACTCTGGAACCATTCAAAAGAGAAAAGCTCTTTTAAAAGATTACCAAAAAGCTAACTTTGCTCTGCTGTTTACCTTTTATTTTTCTCTAATTTCTATGGTTAGCTGTATAACTAATACTCAATTTGGAAGTATAAGATACTGATGCAGTTCTTCTCTTCCGGAAAGATAACTGGGTTGAAACTAAGTTGAAAGCCCTGCGGAACAGATTCTTCTTCCTATAATTACAATATGAGCATTAACAATCCTCTGAGAACTATTTTCTGGAAATCTAGTTCTTGATGTCCAGAATATTAATCCATTAATCCAACAAATATTTAATGAGCACCTACTTCTGATTTCTTTACACCATACTATTGTTATGATATGTCCTGACATATTGACTCTGACAGTGCTCTGCCCTAAAAAAATACCTTTTAGGGTATTTGTAGGAGAAGTGAGCATGGGAATGCTAAGGAAATCTTTTTTATATGAAGTTAAAATGGAGTTTATAGTCAGAGTTTATGGTTTACTGGGCAATGCAAGGACAATTTGGAAGCCTTCCCCAAGTGCACTCACACTGTTTTTATTACCTCTGTTTTATGGGGCAGTAATTAATGGTAAAGTCAAAGCAGTATTGTTAGGTAGTTCAAGCGTATATCATACCAGTACTTTTTCTGTATTGCCAATAAATCGTGTTTGTGCTAAAAGTTAAACCTTTGGGTGTTTCAATTCATGGAGTTATGCTAGCCACACTTTGATACAAATGTTTGCTGAATCAAAACTTGAACACAGTATATCCTAATTCAGGGAACTGTATATATGAGGAACTGTATTTGACACAGTCTTGGGAGTTAGGAATACTGATTTTATTCCCTAGCTTGTTTTGAGCCCCATCAATTTCCCTGAGAATAAAATAAAAAGCTAAAAAGCTCAGGTTACATGAGGGTAAATAACTTTTCCTAGACTTCCTCCTGATTCAGGTTTCCTGGTTCTAACAGTAGTCCCTTTTCACCACAGTCCCCGTGCTGTGCAAGTCGAACGCCATTGAAGTGAGCGTCCCCAGGGAGCTGGTTGGCGGCCTGGAGCTCTTCCTGACCAACACTTCCTGCCGAGGGGTGTCCAATGGCACCCACGTCAACATCCTCTTCTCCCTCAAGACATGTGGCACAGTGGTCGATGTAGGTTCCTCCTGGAGGACACTTGGGGAATGACCAAAAGCCATTTATTTGGGAGGTAGTCGACAGAGGTATGCGGTGTGGCTTGTGTCATAGATGAGATATTTACACATGAAAGAATTGAGCTCAAAACATCTTATGTCATTCATTTAACAAACATGTTATTGAGCAGGCATCCTCAAACTACGGCCTGCGGGCCACATGCGTGTGTTTTTGTCCGTTGGATTTTTTACTTCAAAATAGGATCTGTGCAGTGTGCATAGAAATTTGTTCATAGTTTTTTTTTTTTTTTTTTTAACTACAGCCCAGCCTTCCAACAGTCTGAGGGAGAGTAAACTGGCCCCCTGTTTAAAAAGTTTGAGGAACCCTGTTATTGAGCATTGCGCATGCTGTGGTCCCGGCATTTGTGAGGATAGGAGTTAAGAATAATTCTGTCATTGCTGTCCTGAATAGCCCCCATCTCTCCAGTATGTACATTTTCCTGACTGTGTGAGCACCAGTAGTACTGGGAGGCAGACTACATCCCCTCCGTCCACTTATTTTATCTGAAGAAAGCAACTAATATAGATGATGATTCACTTATGATATAGTGAGTGAGTTTAAGTATTGAACCAGGTTGAGTTAAAAGGTTTATACTTTCACCCAAAGTCTGCACTCAGCCCCATGCTGGAGTGTCTGAGAGATATATGAAATGCTGCCTTTTAGGAACTTATACAACAGTACTGAGATGGCAACACATAAAATACAAGTAGGGCATGAACCACTGTTCATGACAGTGGTTCCTGACAGATGATAGGTCCCAGGAAAGGGACAAACACTGGAGCAGTCAAGAAAAGTGGGATTTGGATCCAGGTGGCGTGTGTGGTTTACATAAGCAGAGAAGAAAAGAAAGGGCCTTTCACAGGGAAACAAGTGAGCAAAGTCTCAGAGAGGGGACTGTTCAGGCCTGTGCTGAGATGAATGGGCAGTGCAGGCTGACTGGCAAGGAATTCCTATTGGAAACTGAAACTGGAAAAGTAGATGAGGCAAATGGTTTCCAAAGGGCCGCCTTGTCTGCTAGGGGGAGTGGTCTGGGCTTCATCCCACAGAAATGGGGGAAGGCAGGAACCGTGGCTAAAAAAGCCCTGACCTGACAGCAGTGTGCACGGTGGAGAGAGCAAAGAGGGCCTGCATGCAGCTCAGTGCAGAGGCCTGTGCGAGCACTTGGTTAAACAAATATTTATTTACAAATTTGGATAAATGAAAATCAGAAAGCTAATTAGACTTGGGATGAGACAAGGTGCAGCTATTCAAGGAGCAGGTGGCCCCACTTTAGGCAAGTTGCATTGACTGTGTCTGTGGGTAATCAAATGGAAATGCCCCGTAATAGGCTGGCATCACCCTCCGGTGCACAGGAGAGCAGATGAAGCTGGCGCTAGAGGGCTGAAAATCATCTGCATAAATGTCACAGCTGAAGTTCTGAGTGTGGGTGAGTTCAGCACAAGGTCATACTGCAAGAGCACCAAGTCTCAGACTCCTGAAAAAAATAACATATGGAAGCCATTTTTTTCCTAAAATACCAGAGCTTTGAATATGCTGATTCTGCACAGATCATTTTTTACGAGTAGAACTCCAAAGGAATGTGTGGGCTGACAAAGAAGTAGTATGTAAAATTCTTAACGGCCAGGATGTCTTGCTCACAAGAGAAAGGCAATGGAAACAAAAACAAAAACCTTCGGTTTTAGGCAACCAAATCTCTAACATATTTTGACGTGAGCAGAAATTCAGAAAATGTTAAGGTGGGGTAGGGGAGAAACTCTGTAGAAATAACCTGAAAATCTCCTTCCTCTCCTTGCCCTGGCCTGGCTCAGGTGGTGAATGACAAGATCGTGGCTAGCAACCTTGTGACAGGTCTCCCCAAGCAGACCCCAGGGAGCAGCGGGGACGTCATCATCCGAACCAGCAAACTGCTGATCCCGGTGACCTGCGAGTTCCCACGCCTGTACACCATTTCTGAAGGATACGTTCCCAACCTTCGCAACTCCCCGCTGGAAATCATGGGCCGAAATCATGGGATCTTCCCGTTCACGCTGGAGATCTTCAAGGACAACGAGTTTGAGGAGCCTTACCGGGAAGCTTTGCCCACCCTCAAGCTCCGCGACTCCCTCTACTTTGGCATCGAGCCCCTGGTGCACGTGAGCGGCTTGGAGAGCTTGGTGGAGAGCTGCTTCGCCACCCCCACTTCCAAGATCGACGAGATCCTGAAGTACTACCTCATCCGAGACGGGTAACTCTGCTGTGGGACCGGCTTCAAGATTCCCAGTCCACAGGCATACTCAGGCTTCCCCTAAACCTGCACGCACTGTCGCCTGCGCTGTCAGTTCAGGAACCATTTATTGACAGGTTGCAGGTAAAAACTGGCGAGGGATGGGGGAGTCAAAAATGACTCCAAGGCCGGGCGCTGTGGCTCACGCCTGTAATCCTAGCTCTTGGGAGGCCGAGGCGGGCGGATTGCTCAAGGTCAGGAGTTCAAAACCAGCCTGAGCAAGAGCGAGACCCCGTCTCTACTATAAATAGAAAGAAATCAATTGGCCAACTGATATATATATATAAAATTAGCCGGGCATGGTGGCACATGCCTGTAGTCCCAGCTACCAGGGAGGCTGAGGCAGGAGGATTGCTCGAGCCCAGGAGTTTGAGGTTGCTGTGAGCTAGGCTGACGCCACAGCACTCACTCTAGCCTGGGCAACAAAGCGAGACTCTGTCTCAAAAAAAAAAAAAAAAAAAAAAGACTCCAAAGTGACCAGTTCAGGTGACTGACGAGATGGCATTAACCAAGATGAAAAGACATATGTAGAAAAGTAGATTTGAGGTAGATAGAGGTATTGAATCTGATCATGCAAAAGAATATACAGAATAATTTAAAATTCCAAATACCTGCAGGTGATATCTAGGAAGACAAGTTCAGTGGGCAGTTAGAAATGCGTATCAGACTCAGGAGCAAGGTCAGGGCTGGAGGTGAAGAGCAGAGAATCACCCTGTTGAGAGTCGGAAGTGCAGGACTGATTAACCAGCTCAGAGCGGGGCGCATGCGCAGGGGCGGTGGGGGGGGCCAAGAGCGCCTGCGCGGGGATGAGGAAGCGGAAGCAGCACGCATGGAGCCATCTTTTGAGAAGTTTGGTAGTGAAGGAAAGAGGAGAAATGCTCGGTAGGTCGAGAAGGAAGATTTAGTGGTTTGTTTTTGTGGTTGTTTTTATACAAAGAAACTTCTGTGATATTTCCTAAGGATCCTTGGGTTGAGATCTGTAGGTGTCTTGAGGTGTCAGTGGAAATCTAACAGTTGTCACTGGGAAAATGACACTCAAACCCGAAACTCATAGTAGTATCTCATGAGTTTCTTCCTCATTCTAAATACCAGGTGGGACACAGTCTCAGGTAGGGATGGGAACAGCAGCCTAAGGAAGGGGAAGTGTACTAGTAGGAGCGGCTCAGGTGTGCCTCCGGGCTTGCCCTTTGCTAGTCCACCTGTAGGCTCTTGGAAATTTCTACTTTGCTTTTACTTCTCCTTGTCTCTCACCACAGGCAACCTTCACCTGCTGCTACCAATCTCTTGCATCATGATTTTTCAACCCTTGGTGCACATTAGGATCACTGAGAAGCTTTTTTAAACAATAGAAATGCCTGAACCCCATACTTTGCGTCTCATTCCTGTCGTCTTATTTCCAGTCCTCATTATCTTTCACCTGGACAACAGAGCAGCCTCCTCCCACAGCCTCCCAAACCCCGCCTCTCAAATCTCAGCTCCCCGGACACCACCTCCCGCAGTCCACTTATAAGGAAAATAGGATCTCACACATCCCCGCTGAAAACCTTTTATCTTTATTAGCCTTGGTTGGTAAATAAAAGGTAAAAAAGAAAAAAGGGTTAAACTCCTGGCCCTGTTTTTTTCGTAATTTTAATGGAGTCTTACTCACATACAATAAATAGACATATTTAAAGTGTATAGTTTGGTAAGTTCGGATGTATAGACCCATGAAGCCATCATTATAAGCAAGATAATGAACATTTCTCTCACCCCATAAGTTTTCTCCTACCCCTCATATTCACTTTTTGCAAAAATAAGTATATAACTCATTTACTGGGAAAACATGTAACCTGCAATCTCAGTAAGGCTTGTGAAATTTATTTATATACTTGTTATTCAGACTCTCAGTGGACTATTTTATTTTAGACAGTTCTAAGAAGCTGCACTATTTATTTTGCCAGCCCTTAGTGCATACAAAAGAGAAAAATATATATACTACAGAAGAAAAAAGAATAAGTAAGAAATTGAAGACCATAGCAGTATGGCCCTAATTTGTAAGCAGGCAAATAGTGCCATCTATAGCACTGTACAAGAATGGTGTATAGGAGATAATCCAACCTGCAGCTTGGCTAACTAGGCCCTCACCCTCTGTCCTCAGCCTCCTCCTGTATCTGCTCCTGCCAAAGGGAATTACTGACAATTCCCAAACTGTCATTCCTAAACACCCTTCTGACTCTGCACATGCTGTTTCCCCTGTCTGAAATCTCCTTCCCCACCTTTTCCCCCTGATTCTTACTAATCTTTCAAAATTCAGCATTTACTTCCTCCATGAAGCCTTCCCTGATTCCTTTTCATCTGAACTAGAAATCTCCTTCCTTTCCCTTCTTCCTCGGTACCTATTGTAAGCATCATTAAGTATTTGCCAAGTAAATTATTAATTATTTATAATAATTGGGACTAGTCTACAACCTAAAATAAACATAACTCACTTTACTTATATTTATAAATTGTTTGATTATTCATTTCTTTGTTTTTTTCATTGCCCTAAGCTTAAATTTAAATCAGGCTTATTGTCCCCTGCTATTGAACATGTCCAATTCACTTCTTTCTAGTTTTAGTTGGTATGTGCTCTGAGAATTCAAAATAATTTAATACTAACCTAAACACAATATAATCAGAAAGCTAATGTCCAGGAAAAAAAACATATTAGATTCCAAAATCAAGTACTGAACAACTTTCTGATAAACAATTATTTTGGATTCTCCCTCCACCATCGTTATTTACTTTTAGCACATGAACTTGGAGTGGTTGGAACTAGCATTGTCTCATTACACCAAATCAAGAGCCAACATTTGTCCTGGTTTCTATTCTGTATTGTGTTACCTTGTAATAACTCCTTCTGCCTCGTTTTCTCTTCTAAAGAAAAAAGTATTTTTAGATAAAGGTAAATTGAAAATTCTGAGGCAGTTAGATAAAAGTACCATTTTTATATCAAGTGTTACTATTATCATAGATACAGGGCTATAAACTCCTGACGTCAGACACTACATTATTCATCTTTATATCCTTTGCAGTACCCTGCAGAGTGTCTTGCACAGATTAGGTTTGCAATAGACACTTATTATAGAATATAATCAGGAGAGGGTATAAATTAATTTTACCTCAGGAAAATAAAAATGAGTAAATAAATAAATAAGAAATAACAGAAATCACATTATGCTTAGATGCTCTTCACTTTGGTAGAATAAAGTACTAGCAGTGAAACAAGAGGCCTTATTTTTAAACAATTTTTTTGGATTTTTTCAAGTGCACCAAAACAGCAGTTAGCAATGAACTAGACAGTGGTCTGTAAGCATGTGGAGCAAGTACCCAGTTTCACAGGCTTTTATATCTGACCCCCACTTTTTTCCTGGCCCAGTAGACAGAACTATTAGGTATCCATTAAAAGACAATTATGTCCAGAAAAATAAAAGTTCCTTTAGAATACAGAATGGGAAAGGTGACATGAGGGTGATCCTGGGCCTGTAAGGAGAAGGGATTCATCAGTACCCAGAACTGTGGGCTCAGGTTCGAGGATCAGAAACTTTGCTGCCACCGCTGCCCCTCAGGTGAACCTGGGAATTTCACTTGAAGCAGTAGACATGAGATGAAAACTCCCAAATCCTATCAAACTGCAATTTAGCATTAAATCTGGGGAAAGAGAAATGGAAACAATTTGGAAGTAAATGACTTTTATCCAATAGAAACAGTTCTTCTCTAAGACACTTAGATATTTGTGTAACACTTTGATGCACAAATTATGGTTTGCTCACTTTTATGTCCCCTTCAGTGGTTAGTTTCTATTAGGTGTCCAATAAATATTTATTTAATTAAAAGCCTTCTCAAGCCAATAATAAAGTACATGAAAGCAGAACTCCTGCAATTTATTACAAATGAGAAGACAACAAAAGGTATCTTTGAAATACATGTTGCTGTTGATAATACTTAAACACATTCACTTAACAGGAAGGCCTTGTGCCCAGTTTGTGGGTACAGCGAGTGATAGAAGGGTCAGACATTGCTAATGAGTAGGGCTATGTCTGAAGAGGCCTTCACAAGAAGGGAATTTCATTTTTCCTCATTCTCAAAAAGTTTGAGTGCAGCCCAGCCTCTTCCACCCAGTTTGTCTCTCCCTGGACCAAACATTCTGGACTGGATTGTTTCCCCACTCTGTTAAAGCGATCAAGTCTTATGTGCTATCCGTCCTACTTTCAGCTGTGTTTCAGATGACTCGGTAAAGCAGTTTACATCCCGGGATCACCTAGCAAAGCACTTCCAGGTCCCCGTCTTCAAGTTTGTGGGCAAAGACCACAAGGTGAGCTGAACATCTTTACCTTGTAACTCCAGGACCTGAGCCCTCCTTCTTGGTATCCCAATGTGTTGACTTTCTAAGAGCTCACTGTTAGGATCTGCATGACCTCTAGGAAAAATACAGAGAAACTGGCCATTGAGAAGCTAACATCTTCATGCATGTTACAGTTATCTTCCCCCTCCCATAAAATAACTGCTGTTCAAAGAAAATACTATAAAATCATAATTTAAAATCTTTGTGGTCAGGTCTGTTTGAAAGAGCCAGAATGGTGGTTGGTCATATGGCAAAGGATATGGACACGAAATTCACAGGAAAGATAAATAGTGAAATATTCAGTGAAAATAGTGCTTTACATGCCAATTAAAACAATTATAAAACTATACATATTAAATTTATAAAAATTATAAATTATACTATTTATAAGGTTATAGGGAGAAGTATGTAGTAGCAGTATAAATTGGTGTAGTTTCTGGAAATATATCTGATAAAATGTAATGATCATAAAATCATATTCTTTTACCTAAAAATTCCAATTCCGACAGTTTGTCAAAAACAAAACAAAAAACAAGGTGTGTTGAAAGTGTTTGTGCAACATTATTATTAGGGGGTGAAAGCAAAAGGCCCCAAACAAACAGGGCTAAGAGCTGCAGTATAATTTTTTTCCTTTGTTTTTTGGCAGATGAGTTGTTACACATTCCTTGCAGATTCCAACTTCTATAGCCTCCGTTCTGCTTTAAGCAGTTATTAAAATGATAAATATGGGAAAAGCAGACATAAAAACTGTTATAGCAGTTTACATGCGTATTAAATATGCTACATTTAAACATGTATACACATAGATAAAGGTTATACAGGGCTATAGAAAAAAGGCTATAGTGAGATAAGGTGGAAGTTTTTATTGTTGTTATAGTTGCTAAAACAAACATTTGAACAAAAGGAAGTTTTTCTTTCAGTCATTCTTTTCCAGATTGCCTTTAAGTATGTCCTGTCCTTTCCAGCTATATCATTGTTCCAGAACAACTTCTGACAATGACTAATCCTGATCTCCCTCAACTAGGCAGAGTAAGCTCTAGGTAGTTACTTATCGAAAGGTGATTGGAGGAAGAACTTATTTTACAACACAAGTGCATGCAAGCCAATGTAATTCCCCGACCTTGATATGAAGAATGAAGATGCTAAGGTTATTATATGTTGCTTCACAAACATCTCTTCTGTTCCAGCACAACGCAAAAGTTATGAATGTGAATTTTTAAATCACCTACGTGACTCAAATTCCAACTTTGCCACTTTATTACTAAATGTGTGAATTTGGGAAAGTTCCTTAACCTCTCTAAGCCTCAGTTTCCTTATCTGTAAAATGGGGATGGTGACCTCTACCTCAAAATGTTGTTGTTAAAATTAAATGGGATGATGTCTTGGAACATTTAGCATGTGTCAGGCTCCTAGTATGTGCCCCACGAGTGACAGCTGTTATCACTGTCTTTATTAATGACCATGATCATCTCTCCAGGAAGTGTTTCTGCACTGCCGGGTTCTAGTCTGTGGAATGCTGGACGAGCGCTCCCGCTGTGCCCAGGGTTGCCACCGGCGAATGCGTCGTGAGGCAGTAGGAGAGGACCCTGCTGGTCTACAGAGCCAGACGCTGACTGGTGGCCCGATCAGCATTGACTGGGAGGACTAGGTCATCGTAACACCTCTGGCCAGCTTCCTGCGGCTCTCCTCTTTGGAGCTCCGCCCTGCGTCCTCTGAGAACATCAGCCAACCTCTTGGAGCACCTGACCTCTTTAAACTTCACATTGTGAGTTTGGACAAACTCCCAGAACCGACTCACCCTGATTCTGGTCCACCAGGTCGGCACAGGTCACAGCACTGCTGAACAACGTGGCCTGGGTGGGGTTTCACCCTCCTAAGTGAAAGCTAAGCTGTCACCCAGAAGGAAGCCTATCCCTTTTCCCTCGTTTCTTTCCTACAATTAAATACCTCGTGCATGATGTCATAGAACCACTAAAATCAGAAGTTGGGCATAATATTTCAAGCTAGAAACCTTAAAAAAAATGAGTTACTGGAATTATGACTTTAAATACTTAAATATGTAAAAAACAAATCCTGAAATTTCAATTCAAATACAGAATAGTTAGATTGGGAAGTTTATAAATAAAACAGTATGTAATTAAAAATTATATTTTGTTTTTCTCTTACATAACATTTTCTTCTGATATTTTTATATTGCCTTAAGTGAAATATTTTCACTTAATAAATATGAATAAGTTCATTGACATGTATTTAAGTGCTCCAGTGACTAAATTGTAACAAAATTAAAGTTTGGTGTCATATACATGGTTATTTGGTATTCTATGTCTTCAGGCCAATACAGCAAGAGAAAAAAGTATAAAATTTTACCATACTCTATTTTGTAGGTACTTAATAAATTTTATTGAAATAAATATCATAAACAAAGATAAATTTTATCTGCAGTTAAATTCAGTTTCTTAATATGCCACTTAATTTTATGGCTGTACATAAGATCAGAAAAACAGTTTTTCTTCTTTTTCTTTTTAAAAGTTGCTACAGTTGACAATTCTTAATAGTACCAGTGAAATTAACAAAAGGTAGGGAAAGGAGAAAATTATTTAGATCAGCGGTCAGCAAATTTTTCTGTAAAAGGCCAAGTGGTAAATATTTCAGGCTTTTGGGGACATACAGTCTTTGTCATAACTACTCAACTCTGCTGTTGTAGTGCAAGAGCAACCATAGACAGTATGTAACAAATGTGAGCATGGCTGTGTTCCAATAAACCTATACAAAAACAGGCTTTGTGCTGGGTTTGGCCCATGGGAGTTGGCCAGTTCCTGATCTGGATTAGTGGCCCTCAGCCCTCTCTGTGCATCAGAATCACCTGAGAAGCATTTATAAAATACCAGTGTGTAGGCATGACCCCCACAGAGATTCTTTATTGGTTAGTTTTGAATGGTTCTCAAGTGATTCTAAGCCATAGTCAGGGTTGAGAACCACAAATTAGGGAATGGACATTTGTCCCTCACTCCCTGCAGGTTACAGGAACTTTTCCTAGCTATCACCATTGGCAACTCTCACTACATGTGTCTCAGATCTTAGTATGACTCCAATGCTACTTAGTAACTGGGAATACCAACAGAGGTTGGTCACTGAAGGAAAAAAATGAAATCTCAGAGACTTAATTCCATCCAACCTTCACCTCCATTGGCCATAATCAGGTAAGCCTCTGACCTTGTCCATCTGCTTTTCTCTCTTCAGAACCAATGGGAATAATTGTCATCAGTGGAACTTAACCAGGTTGGGTTCTGGTGTCTTCCAAGTGAAATGGAAGCATATGGTGATCATGGAATTCATTCATCTCTTTTCAAATGTTCTAAAAAGTACACTTTATTAAATGTGAGATGCTTACTGGAAACTGAAACATGGACCAGAGGAAAGTCATTCCTCCCAAATGGTTGGATTCCCCAAAATGTCACTTATGAATATAATTGTCAGGTCCAGGAATTGCAGGGTTTGCTTGTATTTTAGTCTTTAAGCTAAGAACTGAATTTCCAGGCAAACATGTCTTGGTTGGGGAGACCAGTGTTAAAGTGAGGGGTAGCCTTCAAATCACTCCGTGTCTTTTTTCAATTTTCCTCAAAAGATTGGACTCCCTTTCCAGCTGTCGAACAATGTTTCCTTTCACCTGCTTTGTGATATCCAAACTGATGGAAGAAAGGATGAGACACCCATCACACTGCCATCTCCGAGACTGACATCTGTGGTGTCACTCAAAACCAGGAAGGAATCAGCTTTTCCTCATAATTCTTCTTTCTCCTCTTCTGCACAGATGCAGGCTGCTCGCTGACTGTTCATAAAGGGTCGGCAGCCCAAGGTCCATACAGTATTGAACACAGTGTCAACCAGAGAATCACAGGCTACTTGAAAATGATGAAGAGAAATATAAAGGTTAACATTGAGTGATTTCTGCAATATATGTAACCTTAACACTTGTACCCCAATAATACGCTAAAAAAGAAAAATTTTAAAGATAAAAAAACAAAACAAAACATTGAGTGATTTTGAAGAGGCAATGTGTTTCCAAGGATGGCATGATACCCAGAGGAAAGCAGAAACAGTAGTCCAAATACAGAATTAAAAGGAAGAGCATATGTTCTGAGAAGCTTTTTGAGAAAAGTGCTCATCCAATTAAAGACCTAACTAAATGGAAAACCATTCATATAAACATAATTTTGTTAAGCTGGCAATATCCTCTAATTGGTCTACATAGTCAACAAAAGCCCTTTTGAAATTCCAGCTGCATTTCTTGTAGAAATTGACAAGCTGATCATAAAATTCATATGGAAATGTAAGGGATCCAGAATATCTAAAACAATCTTGACAAAGAAGAACTTTGACTTCAAAATTTACTACAAAATGACAGTAATCAAGATAGTATGATACTGGCATAGATCAACAGAATAGAATTGAGAGTCTAGAAATAAATCCTTACATTTATAGTCAATTGATTTTTGAAAAGGGTGCAAAGACAATTTAATGTAGGAAAGAATAGTGTTTTCAACAAATGGTGCTGGAACAACTGGATATCCACATGGAAAAGAATGAAGTTGGACTCCTTTCTTTCACCATACACAAATATTAACTCAAAGTGGATCATAGATCTAAATGTAAGAACTAAAGCAGTTAAACTCTCAGAAGAAAACAAGAGTAAATCTTTGTAACCTTGCATTAGTCAAAGCCTTATTACACAGGATACCAAAAATGTGAGTGACGACAGAAAAAAATAGATAAATTGGAATTAATCAAAATTTAAAACTTTTGTTCTGCAAATAGTACCACCAAGAAAGTGAAAAATCAACCAAAAAAATGGGAGAAAATATTTGCTAATCATATATCTGACAAAAGGACTTGAATCTAGAATATAAAGAACTCTTACAACTCAATAATAAAAAGATAAATAACCCAATTAAAAAAGGGATAAAGGATCTGGAAAGACATTTCTCCCATGCATATAAGCACATAAAAAGATGCTCAATGTCATTAGCTGGCAGAGAAATGCAAATCAAAACCACAATGAGATACCACTTCACATGCAGTAGGGTCTATAATCAAAAAGACACATATAACAAATGTTGGTGAGGATGTGGAGAAATTGGAGCCTTTATACATTGCTAGTGGGAATGTAAAATGGTAAAGCCACTTTGGAAAACAGTTTGGCAGTTCTTCACAAAGTTAAACGTAGAATTACCATTTAACCTAGCAATTTCTTTCCTATACATCCAAAAGAAATAAAAACCTGTGTCCCCACAAAAACTTGTGCATAAATATCCATAGCAGCATTATTTATAATAGCCAAAAGGTAGAAATAACCCAAATATCCAGCAATTGATGGATAAAGAAAATATGTTACAGCCATATAATAGAGTTTTATTCAATGATAAAAAGGATACTGATACATTCTACCACATGGATAAACTTCACTAAGTAAAAGAAGTCAGTCACAGAAGACCACATACTGTGCGATTCCATTTATATGAAATGTCTGGAATAGGCAAATTTACAGTGGCAAAAGATAGATTAGTGGTTGCCTTGAGCTGGCAGGGGGAGGTTTGGGGAGGGACTGCTAATAGCTATGGAGTTCCTTTCAATAGTGATGAAAATGTCCTAAAGTTGATAGTAGGGTTGATTGCTTAACTGTGAAGATATTTTTAAAGGATTTAAATGGGTGAATTATAGCTGAATTATGAATTATAGCTCAATAAGCCTGTTTCAACGACAACAAAATTAACGATCAGGGCATTCCAAGCAGAGGGAACTGCAGGGGCAGAAAGGTATGGGATATCAACCCAAGAAGTCTGGAATGTCAGGAGTCCAGAGAGAAATCAGGAATTACCAAGATGGCGCCTGAGAGCGAGGCTAGGGCCGAATCAGAAAGGGCCGTGGATGTCATCCCATGGATTTTGGATTTCATCCTTAAGGAGGAGGAATCTATTGAGTGACTTAAACTGGGGGTGGAGATAATCAGATTCATATAAAACTTCTATAGAAACACATCTGGTCTCAATGGGGAGATAGATTGGATGGAGCACAGAGACTGGGTTAATTTGCAGTAACCAGGCAAGTGGGATATCAAAGAGATATTTAGGAGATAGAATCAATATGATATTGCGTAGAGGAAGTAACTTGACCCTCGATTAGCAGCAGGCCCTTTTTCACCCTTTGTAGAAACAGACTAGAACGATGCCCCTCCCACAGGGCCCAGGGAGTCAGCCACACCGTCAAGCCCTCACACCTGCGCTTCAGGACTGCACTCTGGACGCTGACCTGTGAACAAGGTCCAAGAGTCTTTCTACTGCTGATACTCCCTGGGGGCATGGAGCCAGTTTTTTATAAACCTGAATTTTAACTTTTACCATCTAAAAATATAAAATGCTAATGCAAGGATATAATACTCTGGCTTCAGAAGCTGAAAGATTAAAAATTTTTCCTAAAGGTAAATTATTAATGGGAAAAAGAGGTTAAACAGGCAGTGCTAAAAACTGGATAGTAAAGCAGTTTAAAATAATTATAATCAAGTGTGTATACACTTTTGCACACACAAAAAAAGGTTTTTTGAATTCTTACCGTGACTGAAAACAAAATAAGAAAAAAAGGGCTTAAGCTGAACCAAGTGGTCCTATACGGAATAACTCCTGATATGGAAAATTATTTAACCGTGGAATGGATAACCCAAGCCATTTGGGCAGCTCTTTCCCCAGTCTTCAAGGATAGATTTTTATTTCTCTGGGAATGCGTTGGTGGGGCCCTTTCCACCAGGAGTGATGCCAGCATCTCATGGGCAGGACAGCAAGAACTTTAATGAAAAGTGCCCAGAATCTTCCTTCCCCATTTCCTGCATTGGCCACAGTGTTCCATAAGGAACGTTCAGTGAGCTCTGACGAGCTCTTTGAATAAAGGGGCTCTGTGTGAAAACAGGAACAAAACTACTCCCTGCTCGCAAGTACGTGCCCTTAAGATACCTACCTTCCACGTTGGAGACAAAGCCCAGACTCCGCTTAAGGTCAGAGCAGATGGAGTGGAGACACCATCGGAATTTTGCATCACAGCGATATTTGTTGGCGCCACAAGTGTCATAACAGACATCCAGCTGGTTGCAGCACTTGGTCATTGCTGGAATGCCCAAGTCCATCTGGGGAAAAGTGAAGGAAGGAAAGGGAAGGGAAGAAAATGCCACGTTTAGGCTAAGGACCTTAGGCAACCTTGCCCACCTAGTTATTATTAATAACTAGTCAGTCTCAAATTTCTACTGCATATTCAGATCAATTCAGAAACACCAGTGACTGTAGCATACATCAGAGTGAGGGTCACAGGATGCTGAGTTTTAATTGTTATTTAGTTATTAGTTTAATAATGACTCTGGCCCATTTCTCCTTTTTTTTTTTAGATTTTATTAATTTTCAAATTTGCAGGCTGCTACAGTAATGAAAATAGAGACCAGAAGAGTATTCAAGAGGGTAGAGCTATAGGACTTCCAAATTCGACTAACTTAACATTTCCATGTAAAATTTTATTTGAGCAAAGGATTCCA